CTATTCTACTATAAAAGGTAATTTTGTAACTTACACTCTAGATAAAAAAAAAAGGCAATGATGTCATTTTTCACATGTATTAACTTTTGTCTCTCTTTAAATGTTTAAAAAATGTTGTTTCAATATATAATATAAAGCATTAAAAGTATTTTTCACATGTATTAACTTTTGTCTCTCTTTAAATGTTTAAAAAATGTTGTTTCAATATATAATATAAAGCATTAAAAGTATACTCTAAGTGTAATTTTTCCTTTCCCTTTCATCCCCACATAATTTTATAGCCACAATTCTAATTCTATAATAATTTTAACCAAAACTTAATGTAAGAGTACTAATATACCCTTAATATAAGGGTTTCTCAAAACAATCAAAACACAACCTTTAAACTACCTTAAAATGAGGAATGAATCTCAATCACTTTTTTGTTTTCATTATTCTCTGTAACTTTTTATAATTTCTGCAATCTTCTGAATTTCTGCACCTTAAACCGGAAGGAAATGAAAGCATCGATCGAAAAGCAAAACCAGCAACCTTGTTGACCTATCATTTCTTTTGATGTCTTTGCTAGCATTAGAGATTTTGGGGGCCAAACAAAATTTGACTCCATAAGCAGCAGGACGCGAGGAAAAGGTTCAACTTTTTACTATCTGATGGACAATAATTTTAGGGAATTGTTATCAGCACTCAAAAAATCTTATTTGGCACTCCAAACTTTCTATAATTATAAAGAAAAATACATTTATGAAAGTATAGAATGAGATTTTTAAAGTGCTAATAATAGTTTCATAATTTTAATGGAAAATACTCTTTCCTCTTTGCTTAGAGTATATTCTTATTATATTGTATTCGCATATTATTGGTGAATCACTATAAATTCAAATACTACAAGTTTGCCCTATATATTTTGTATTCAGTGTACTAGAAGAACTTTCATAAAGTGATCTGTAAAAAATCACTTATAAACTCAAACTTTTTCCTAATTTTAATATATTTGTAGTTTATTTATATGTACTAATTAATTTTTTTTGCCTTCACAATATGACTCAATTTATGACAGAGGTCCACTACAGATGTGAAATCCAGTCCCCGAATTTCACTATTTAAATTTTTCGTATTTTAGATTTATACGAATTTATCTTAGTTTCTTTAAAATTTGGAAATTTAATTAGTTACAAAGTTTGATATTTCGTAATTAGTCATCTAAAATTTGTAAATCATTAGCGATCACACTTAGTGTTTTCAAATAGAACTCGATTCCACGAGTGTGTTGGCAAAAGCCGTTCATGAGACGTAGTTATATCGAAGAAGTTACAAACATCGAAAATTAGTTCGAAATAGTAATTTGGGACTTACTATAAATAGCGAGTCTCACTTTTTGGGAAAGGTGACCAATGGACCTATTTACCACGCGTGGCCCATTTCTGACCTAGTTCGCTGATCTGATTGCTGCAAAAATTCCGATGCCATTTCCATCAATTTTTGTTTAAGGAAAACTAATAAAAAAGAATTGAAAACTTTGAGTTTTAATGATAAGGAAAAAATAAAGGGTAAAGTGAATAGTACCAGGATTGACTTTTTAGTGTAAAAATGTGGTTTTTCATTAAAGTGAACAGTACCATGGGCTTTTCATTAAAACTCCCTTTTTTTTACGATTTTTCCGGTGAATCACATCGATCCACCTCCTGTAAGCTACTCAGCGACCTCCTAGCTTTCATTCCCACCCAAATTCGACGGGTTTTGGTCCATGTTTCACTACAAACTCGTTGGATTCCCAGAGCTCACGGCGACGATCTCTTCTTTCCTACAAATTCTAACATTTTCTACCACCATCATCTGACTTTCATCGACCCCAGGAGAAAAGCCCAACCCAAGTTCACGATGCCAAAACACTGGTGATGTCATATCGACGATTAGTCATTTCTTGATTTTTCTGTCTTCTTTCACGGCTTTTAGACATATCCCGAAAAATTTGGATCTAACAAAGGTACAAACTTTACTCATCTTCTCAAGATGTTCATTTTCGTGTACTTTGAGATATTTTGGAGTTAGGTGAATTTTCCTACGAGTCGTGGTCACTGGCTGCAACGTGCGGCAACACATGATCCAAGAAACCACGTAGTCTTTTTAAGCTAAATTTCATACTCTAATACTATTTTTGAAATTTGTTTGATGAAATAACGTCGTTTGAACCTAGTTTCATTGAGGTTTGCCACTTGACCGTTGTAGTAAACGAAAATCTGATCGAATGACCGACACCAATTTTTAGTATGTTATGTACGTATTCTTTAAGGACCTTAGAAACTTATGGATCGAAAATTCAATGTGCGGATCTTCCAAATTAAATTTTTAGAATTCTAGACCCGGCGTTGACCACATTGACCAAGGTTGACTTTTGGTTAAAATGTTTCGAATCATTTCTAAATATTGAAATTGACATACTGGTTTTCTGATAGAGCCTAGTGGGCATAGTTTGTTTAGCAAGCCATTTTGGGGCATGTGTGCTTCGGTTTGTGTAAGGGTGACACCTTACCGAAATTTACGTGTTTATTGAACTACTAAAAGATATAAATGATATATGTGATTGCTAGGAAGAAAATATGAGCTAAAACCATGTTAGAATTATTCCAGAGAACTTGTCGTATGTGTGATTAGATATTCGTTTGCCTTGTGGATTGATAGTGTGTATGTTAACAATTATAATTCATGTTGATTTAATGTGTGATGCATGGTGAGGATAGTGCACCATGTAGCAGTAGTTAAGGATGATCCTGCCTAGCTAATCTGCATCAGATGACCACACTATTATGTGTACGCTTATGGTCATGTCTCGTTAATCCATATTGGGGGACCATACTCATTCTAGGGGTGACTCCGTCTGGTTAATCCACATTGGGGAGTCACTGCCTACCTGGTTACATTATTCTCATAGGTGGTTCTGCTGGTTAATCTGCATTGGGAATTAACTATAAAAGGTATGTCTATGGTCTCGCCTGGTTAATCCATATTAAAAGACCATACGCATCATAGGGGTGACTCTGTCTAGTTAATCTGCATTTTGGGGTCGCTGCCTATTCAGTTTACTTCCATAGGTGGTCCTACCTGGTTAATCCGCATTGGAGGACCACACTATTAGATGTTGCCTATGGTGTTGTCTGATTAATCTGCATTGAGGGACCATAAGCATTCTAGGGGTGACTCCTCCTAGTTAATCTTCATTAAGGGGTCATTGCCTACTTTGTCAAATTGGATCCATAAGTGGTCTTGCCTAGTTAATCTATATTTGGGGACCATACACATTCTAGAGTTATGTTCTGTTGAGTGGTCCGGAACTCTATCTTCGTTGAACCCTATATCTTGTGGATAGAAGTTGCTCAAGGTTACTCTTGTTGTTGTAACTTAAGGTTATGATAATGGTTATATGGATTACATGTAGAGAAATATGGCAAACCTTGTGGAGGTTGGTTTATTTAACTTAGTGATGTGATATTTGAGCTTTGGTTGATTAACGTGGTTAGATGTTAATATTGTGCATTTTTTATTCATTGAATTTATTATTTGATGTAATTGTGGAACTATTGGTTGAAAGCAATATGATATTTGTGAAAAAGAAGTGACAATCTTGGCCGATATATGGTTTCCTTAAATAGATTGAAACCTAGTGAATCATATCGTTGAGTTCGTTGAGTTCTAGAAATTGAATGATTCTAAAACTCTATGTTATTTTTGTTTGAAAGTGCCATCTAGCGTGCCAAAACTTATCCAAAGGTGAACCGCGAATGACTTAAATCCGTTCTAGGGTACGTAGACAGTCTAACACAGAGGTTAGATGCAGCCATGAAATAAAAGGAAATGTTACTACGATATTGGACCGTTGGTAGATTTTGGTCATGTCTTGGGAGCGAGATATGATAGTTCAACAAGTACTTGATGACGTTACGTGTCAATCTTGAAAGAATCTCATGATCAGAGCATGACAACGGGTGGATGAGGATTGATAGCCAATAAATAAATGGGCAAATGAAAGCAATGATAACGTCAACCAAAGTTATTCATCAAGATCTTATGCATGGTATATATAAACTTCTTCGTGTTAGTCCAAATTAATTTATAATCTTAGTACATTAGCAATGCATGAGCAACTTAGGGATATAAAATATTATGAAGATTAATTGTAAACAAGATGACGTGGTTAACTAGGTACGTGAAATTCTTTCTGCAAAACCGGACTAGAGTCCATTATATAGTCTCAACAAATCCTCTATATGAATCTGAAGATGAACACCTAATTGCATGTAGTTTCTCATCACCATCAGTGGCAACTGCTGCATGTTGAAGTCGCAACATATCAATATACAACATATGATCCCAGTTCTACACAGCCAATGCAATTATGATGGTATATGCCAGCCCATTTGGTCAATTGGAAACAAGAGTGAACGGAGTGTGTCGAAATAGGTGCATAATAAAGTTATTTTACCTCCAAGTAAACAAGTTGTATCTAGAAGACGCAAGATAAACAAAATCTCATCTCAGGGACAGGAAAAGATAGTGAAGAAGTGTAGTAGATGTGGTGGGACAACCCATAGCCAAACTTACAAGAATCCATTTACACTTTGTTCCAGCGCATTATTATGAATGTTTTGCTTTGGATTTCTACTTTATTGGCTTTTATATTACTTGAGTTTAAGAACAAAAGAGGCAACAAGTTTATATATATGTTTGCCAGTTTAACATATTGACTTTCAAAGCTTTGTGTTTTCAAATTATTCATGCATCAGAATTCAAATATTTATTACTTAAAAAGGGAATTTTGTTTTTATGTTTTTTTTGTTTTTAATTCTTGCTTTCATTTTGGTTTAAACTTTAAAGGTTGAAGACACCCAAAGGTGTAGTTAAACATTGCATACATCAAGGTAGTTTAAAGGTTACATACAATAATGAAATAAAAAAAGTAACAAAAATTAATTTTTTAAATATGTGCCAATTTGCCAAAAATAATGTGGGAATTCGGAAAATTCTCTCCATCTATATTCAAATATGTAATATGAGTACTTTTACATCAAGTTTTGATTATAACTATCACAAATTAAAATGGTGGCTATAATTTTATATGGGGTCTAAAATTTGGTTATTTTTCCAAATTTCCCCTTAATAATGACATTTATTATCTATTTAATTCATCTTCAAATTTGATACACAAACTTGGTGTTTTTGACATTTCAGATTGCAACACTTCTTGAGTCCTTGAGGAAACTTTTGAACCAGTGTGCCGAGAGTTTTGGATATCTTTTCAACCCATTGTTGTAATCCACATAGTTGATACCAAATCGAACAGCGTATCCTATTTCCCATTCAAAGTTGTCCAGTAATGACCATGCAATGTATCCCTTCACTTTGGAGCCATTTCTACACCAAAGAAAAAGCACGAAAACTCAGAAAATTCAAGCCAATGTAATGATTAAATAAGGGTAGTGCTTTTCACACACCTCCTTTTACCCTCACACAACCTTGTTAATTTTTGTTAATTGATATTTTTCAATTCATTCGATTTAACGGCAAAAAATTAAGAGGGTGTGTGAGAAGTAAAAATGGATGTGTAGATAGCACCACCCTTAAATAACTAGAGTATGAGAAGGCTAACCATATATATTCTTAATTAATATGTTAATAAGCACTTACTTGATTGCAGCTCGAACGTAACATAAGTGGCGATAATAGAAGTCAACTCTATTAGTATCATTAAGGGCTTCCTCGAGTGATAATTTAGGATCATTGAACTCGGATACACCTACAATATAATTCATTATCACGCACACCATTAGCATCCCATACTCCGCATGTTTAAAATACAAAAATCAAGATAAAATGGTTAAATTATGGGATACTCCAGAGTATTCTAGAATATATATTTTTTTTTTCATATTGTATATCACACCATTAATGTGAAATCTTGATGATGCAATAACTAAGCCTTAAATGTATTGGTTACGTACCATTTTCAGTAATGTAAATGAGTGGATCATTATACTTTTCCTTTATGTAGAGTAAAAGATCGTGAACTCCTTTTGGGTAAACGTATAACCAATCAGAAGCAGTCTGCAACTCGTACAAAAATAGTTTAGTTCTTTAAGAGTTATGCTTGAATATGGAAAACAATTGAATATTAAAAACACACTAGTATATTGATGTGTACCGGTGGACCAATTGGGACGCCATTGAGCTCAGCTGCCACAACATATACGAATATTAGAATCTAATTATATGGTAAGAACATATCTGTCAAAGTAAAAAAGCTAAATTTCAAGTTGTGCTCACTTGTAACTTTGACGTGAGAATCTGTTACGTAGCTTGCAGGTATGGAAGAATTATCAGTTACGTCATTGCTTGAGTATCTAGCAGTATAATAATTTAATCCAAGAAAATCAAATGACCCAATTAGCAACATGGATTCTTCGTTGGTGAATACTGGTAATCGTTTTCCAACAAGAGAACGCATGCTCTGTGGATAATCCCCACTTGTCAATGGCTCCATATACCTACCCAAAATCATGGAAATATCAAATTCTTAAACTTCATGCATATTTGTCGATTTGTCCCTGAATCTTGTATAGAGATGCCAATTTTTCTTTGAACTTTAAATTTTAGCCGATTACTCTCAAAAATTTATAAAGAGCCAATTTCCTCTTTGGCTTTGGATTTTAAAAAATTCATCCAATTTTTCATCCATCCATTTTGCCTTCATATAGTTGTCATGTGTTTACCCGCAGTGATCAAGATAGATGGATAATTAGATGAAAATTTTCAAAAGTCAGGAGGGAAATTAGATAATTGTAAAAGATTAGAGGGTAATCAACTGAAATTCAAGTTAAAGTGGAAATTGGTAGCTCTATACCAGTTCGGAGAACAAATCGACAAATACTTCCAAATTTTATTGAGATATATAAACCAACAATATACTTACCATCCGAACATAAAATCCAATGACCGTAATGCAGCATGTTTATCTTCCTCTGTCTCCGAAGCAGGAACAAACCAATATGTATCCAATGTTATTCCGATCAGACCTTTTTGAAATGCCTACACAAGAACATGAATACGATTATAGCCAGAAAAAGGTACAACCTACTACCATTAACTTGTGTAGAATTCTCAATTAGGACCTAATACATATTAAGAAAAACAAAAAGAAACAGATTAATACACCTGATATTTATCTTTGTACACTTTTACAGCAACTGCATGAGAAAGAAGGAGATGGTGCGTCACCAAGTATGGTTCGATTGCTGAATCTCCACCGAGACAATTCCGCTTTTGCCAATAAGAGCAACGTCCCGGTGCATGAGACCCAACTGCAAAACCACTGTTTGACACACTATGTGGCTCATTCAACGTGGTCCATAGCTTTACTCGATCACCAAATTCCTTGTAACAAAGCTCTGCATAGTCTCTAAAATGATTGCTGTATATACACGTTTAAAATGTATTATATATACCGCCACAAAAAAACTTTATTTCATTATATAGATCGATTGTATGAATCATAGAACGTTAATATTTATTTAAAATGGCCATTTAATTATAAATTGTTCACTTACATAATATGAGGGCTTAAGAAACCACCATATTCATGTTCCAAAGCTTCAGGAACATCCCAATGAAAGAGTGTCACTACTGGTTTTATACCTATATATAAAAAGTTCAATTAAATTAATATTTTACTAGTGCATGTAATTCTTAATTATATATCGATTATTGGATGATAAAAAATGTTACTTTTATTACAATTGTACAATCTTTTTAATAGAGATGAGACCCACATATGTGAGTGGGCTCTACCTTGAAAGGTGATAAAAATATATAAAAAAATATGGTAAAAGTGACATTACTTGCATAAATTTTGTGTGCGACATTATTTTTATTTGATATGTAAATAAAGTAGAGAAGTCACCATTGTGTAAGAGTTCATCGATGAGATTATTGTAATATGTGATTCCCCTCTGGTTCACGCCGCCACTTAACTTGCCACCTAATGTTTAGTCAAAACACGCAACTAAGCAAATAACACAAACTTTCCCAAAAAGGAAAACAAAAATCAATTGTTATGTACAATAATATTGATGATTGGTCTCAAGACTCCCAACCAAATACAATGATTCACACTACTTACTATTACAGTTTAACGATATTCCTTTTTATTTGTAAGTGAGAGTTTTTAAGTTTAAATCTTGAAAATGACAAATTTCACTACCAATTTATTTTCAAACTCCGTTGTAAAAATGTATGTATTTGTATTAAAAAAAAACAAAAAAATACGATGAGTCGGTGAATCAACTTACTTGGTAGCAATCTGGACCACGAGATAGAGAACCTATAAGCATCCAACCCCATATCCTCCATAATCCTCACATCTTCCTATATAAAAAAAAATTAAAAAAAAAAATTAAAAGAAAGAAGCTCAAAGTGAAGGTTCTTGTTTTTCAGTTTCATGTGTTTCCATAAGCTCCAAAATTCTGTGATTATTTAACCTTGTAGCGGTGATATTGATCAACAGCAACATCTCCATTGCTGCCATCTACAATTCTTTCTGCATTTAACCAAAAAAATATATTATATGAGAACGTACAATTTTCTATGGAATGAATGAATTCAATTTCACCAAATAATAGTAGCTCAATATATTCATAATTTTAAATAATTGGTAATTAATTGACCAGAGAGACCTGGATGGGCGTGCGTATAGGTATCCCATATGCTTGGTCCTCTACCATCTTCTTTTGCAGCACCTTCGAACTGAAGTCATTTCACACAGACATAGACACAACTTAGAGATCGATGCCGAAATTCATGCATATGGATGCTAATTGAAACAAAAATAAAACCTAGTACTTATATAAAGCAGAAGACAGTAGCCTCCGAAATGAATTGACCTGATAGGATGCCGAAGCTGTGCCAAATATGAACCCTGGATCAAAACTACTTCTGCTGAGAGAGCCACAATGAATGGGCGGATCAGTACTAGCATCTGTGCCATTTGTCAATGCAACGCTAACTAGTAACACTAAAAGTAACAAGCATACGATCCAACATCGCAACTGTATTGCCATGGTTTCCCGGTTCAAGTATCTTCGTGTGATAAGAATCAAACACTAGACTCTGAGTGTAAGAGTGAACACTCAAAACTAGTTCAACTACGCACACTGCCCTTACAATTGCAGTAGAAAAGCCTAAGAAACAGTTTAACTGGTATAAAAGAAGGACCTGAAACCATGACAAGAAAACAGAATGGGGTGGATCAGGAAACGTCGCATGGCTTCATATATAGGAATAAGGGGACGTATGGTGATCTAGATAATCAAACTTGGAAGACTCAATTAATGTACCTAAATGTGTGTACCGAAATGTATTAATGTATTAATGTATTTAAATGTTAGTACTGAAATGTATGTACCGAAATATATATACCGAAATGTATTATATTAAATTAATGTACCTAAATGTGTGTACCAAAATATATGCACCGAAATGTATTATATTGAGTTAATGTACTTAAATGTTTGTATCGAAATATATGTACCAAAATGTGTATACCTAAATCTAAGCACCGAAATGTATTATAATGATTTAATGTACCTAAATGAAAAAGATAAAGTACATCGAAATATATTGTATAACAAAAATTAGTTTATCTAAATGTTTACAACAAAATATATTATGAAAATTATAATGAAATAAAATTAATACATTAAAAATTAGGAAGAAAAAGAGAAACAATTACAAAATCAAAATATAATTAATAAAATGTATTAAGGGACTAAAATTAGATTTTGATCTTACTCATAGTTTTGATCTAAAAGTGATCTTTGCCAAGGATTAAAATGAAGTTTTCTATTATCTATATCCTAATTAAGATAAGTACGTAAGTAATGTTTTATCTTGTTTATAAAATGAGAAATTTTATTTGAACACATGTAATATCTTTCTGCACTCAACTTACTCTTTAAACTCTTATTATTTTTAATTAAAAAATTAATATCTCTTTAACCTAAAGTTATTACCCAAATTACCCTCCCAAACCCAATTAAAAATGTAAATTTATTTTTACATCCTTTTAAAAAATAAAATCCAAACTTAAATAATTTAGTGAAGTTTCTACTTGTTTATGATTCTTCCATCTTCCATATACCTAACACTTTCCAATTTCTTGTTTTCTTGATATTCATGTACCCGTGATTTTATTTACATGTAGGAATAATAGATTTTCTTGGGCAAAAGAAGATGCTTCAAAGGTTGTGTTCAAGGGTTGTGATTTATATTTTCTCTGCGTATCTAATTTGGACTTTTAGTGCGTTTCGTGAATTGTATTTGTGTTGTTGTCATTGTCACATAGTTTATGCGCGAACATTTTGTCAATTCAACTTTCTTTTAAGTCTTAATAAAGTTCAAAGAAACATATATTATATTAGTTAAAGGAGGGCATGAAAATATGCTAAATAATTACGGGCATGTTTGGTACTCTACTTGAATCTAACTTTTTAAATTCAAAAACAATTTTCAAGTTTTAGGTCTTAAAAACTTGTTTGGTATGACTATTTTCAAAAACTAAACTCAAGACTAACTCAAAAATATAGTCTATTCTCTAAAAACATAAAAAATGTTGTAGGCCTATTTGATTGAATGATCTTAGGGTCTAGGGAGAGAGAAGCCGGCAGTATTGAGGGAGAAGATAGAGTGATTTAATTGTGAGGTGTGTTTGATTCACCCCATTGTGCCTTTATTTATAGTAGTAGGATAGGTAAAAAACTTTCCATTTAGGATGACAACATTTAATAGGTAATCAACTCCTAATAGGAATATAAGATACATTCCCATGTCTACTAGGATTTACACAATCACATTCCTATTTTAAATATGACTGCAACATTCCCCTTGAGTGTGTAAATACTCAACCAACCATCGCATTAGATCTTCAGCAAATAATATAGAATAGTTGATGAAGTCATCGGCACAACGAATGATCGCGAGTCTCAAATTTTAAGTGAAGTATGCATTTGTAGTAAAACTCACAAAACCTCGCTAAGGTAACACCTAAGGCATGGGGAAAACTCATAGACTAAGGAGAAAAGTGAGAAGTATGAATAATGTCTAAAACAAACATCAAACAGGACGAAGGTAGTGAACTCAACGGAGTATGATCATCTTAGGATGAGTGCCTCGTTAAACCCTCGTTAGGTAGCAAAAACCCAGTGGAAAAAATGCTCCTAATCGTAGGAAAAAGAGTACATTAAGATTATGTCAGTATGCTTCTAGATACTCCACCTGAGTTAGACATAACTTCCAAATAAAAGAACTACAAACAATTCAACTCAGATAGTTTACACATAGCGATTCTTTGGACGAGCTTCTGGAAAGTAGACTTGGGCAATGGCTTGGTGAAAAAATCGGCCAGGTTGTCTTGGGAATGGATTTGCTTGACTTTAATGTTCTGATGCTATTGCTGCTGGTGTGAGTAAAAGAATTTCAGCGCTATGTGCTTAGTGTTGTCTCCCTTGATGTATCCCTTATTTAACTGCTCGATACATACTGCATTGTCTTCAAAGATTGTCGTAAGGAAGGTCAATGACTGATGTAAAACCACTAGTGCTTTGAATGTGTTCCATAACTTTTCTCAACTAAAAGCACTCACGTGATGCTTCATGCAAGGCAAAAATCTCAGCATGGTTCGACGAAGTCACAACTAGCGTTTGCTTGGTAGACTTCCAAGATATAGCGGTGTCTCCAATGGTAAAGACATAACCCATTTGAGAACGTGTCTTATGTAGGTCAGACAGATATCCAGCATCTGCGTAACCAACAAGGCGAGAATCAATCCGAGAACCATAAGAGGCGGCAACATTGAGAGATTTACGGATATAGAACAAGCCTAAATCCGTAGTACCTTTAAGGTAGCAGAAAATATCTTTAACACCATTCTAGTACCTGTGTGCGGGCGCATTGCTGTATCTAGCCAAATGATTAACAACGAAGAAGATGTCGGGTCTAGTGCATTGAGTCAAGTACAATAAAACCCTAATTGCACTTAGGTAAGGAACTTTGGGTTCCAAAACCTCTTCCTCATCCTTCTTTGGACGGAAGGGATCTCAGCATCTAGAGTCTGAACGACTATAGGTGTACTCGAAGACTTCACTTTATCCTCTTTAAAATGTCACAACACCTTTTGGGTGTAGTTCGATTAATGTACTATTTCATTATCATTTGCATTCATGATAAGTAAAGATGCCCTATATAAAATATTAACTTTTTATCATCCAATAAGAGGGTTCTTCCTCTTCGGAACGAACTCCAGCCAACTCGAGTTTGAGTTTTCTTGAATAATAGAAATTAAGGCAAAAATTCGTTATTATTTTTGGAAATTGTTATTAGCACTTTAAAATTTTCATTATACGCCCCTCACAAGTGTATTTTTCTTTCTAATTATAAAAAGTTTGAAGTGTAAAATGAAAATTTTAAAATACCAATAACAATTATCTTATTTTTATGACCAATATTTACCCCCCTTAATATAAAGTTAAAGTTATTTCCACCCACATAATCTCATTTTCCACAAATAGAAGAAATTGATCTTAAAATTCATAATTATATCTATTATAAAATTGAGGAAGGATTTGACCATAGCTTAGGTACAGTCAAAATTTTGCCCTCGATTCACGCTATTTACAACAATGCCAGCCAAATGCTGGGTTGGGAGGGTAATTGTTAAAAGTTAGGAGGGTAATTGTGTCTCTGAACATATTTCGATAAATTTACGGTTTTGCCAATCTAATTCTAAAATGGCCCCTCGATTTTACATTATTTACATTTCTACCATTGTGTGTGGCTGTGCTTCAGCCAAAACTTACGGATTTGTGGAGGGATTTCAGGGAGGTCGATCTTCCTAGCGCTGGCGGCGACGGCCGGAAACATCGACAAAATTCTGCAGAAGAAGGGCACCGTCATTCTTCCTCCTCTCTCTTTCAACCTCAAGGTAGGTACTTCCTCATTTTTTTGTTTGCCCATTTTGTCCTTTGATTCTGCGATTGGGTTCGAATGGGGTTGATGTTCTCAAATGGCTTCTTATCATCTCAGGCATCTTCTAGAACTATTCATGTGAAAATTTGCTTCAGATGGAGTTCTTCCTTTAATTGGGTTTTAACTTTTATTAAGTTTTTCATGTTTTTGTAATCATCATTTAATTTATGAGATTTTTTTTATGTAATTTATATGAATTTTAGTGATTCTTATGAGTTTTGTGTAAATCGTCGATTAATTTCAGGGCTGTTATTAATTTTTTATTTTTATTGAATTTGTTTTCGTAAAACTGCAAGTGAAATATCTTTAATATTTGTTATTTTTCATGTTTTTGTTGCCTACCCTTTTCTTGGTATGTTTTGAGACCTTTCGCATCTGCTGAAGAAATGGTCCATCTTTGATTATGCCTAATTTCGGTTTTAAACTTAATATGCATGTACAATGAAGTGGAATTTTTCACTGTATTATTAACATGCATGTTATAAATTTAGTTGTTGATTTTGGCTTGGCATTAAAAATGACGTGAAAAAAAACTGAAAACCCAGAGCTACTCTACTATTTATGCAGCGAGGGAAGGGAAGGAAAGAAAAAAACAGTTAATTTAGTGCTCCCCTTTCTCAATCACTCTCCACGTTTTCTGCAAGCTCAATCGTTTCGTATGTTTCAAACTTAATAGTTTTTACTTTTCTGTCTATATATTTTGTCTTGCATTCTTTTATTGGTTTTGAAACTATAACTGAGTATACCGTAGCACAGTAGCACTACAACTTTCCATTAAATGGTTCCAATAATATAATTTCATATATAATACTCTTGCACTCTTTTACTAATTTTTGTAACACTATTTATCACTCATAGAGTCATAGGTCATGCTATTCGTAGAGTGGTTTAAAGAATTCCAAGAGCTTCAATCACCCAATTTATGCTCTTCATGTAAAAATTCTTTCAAAAAAGCTCAAACATCTTTCAGTGTAAATAGCATTAACCTTCTTTAACAATCTCTTATAGTTTCAAAACATATTTTTTTCATACGGTTTCTAATCCTGTGCACGGGCAATATTTCTAGTAACTTCCTAAAATAATCATCACATGAAATGTGATTGGGTTATAAGCCACTACGGGGTGACTCAGTGGTTGAAAACGAATATCAAGCATGTATTCCACATGTTACGTGCTGAGTTCAATTTCCGGTGCTATTGTCTATGTGAATCTTCCTAAACCCTGAAAAAATGGATTGCTGTAGAGAAATCATCAACTAGTCTACTTTTTTAAAAGGAAACTGTTTGACTGGGCCGTATAAGTGTAAAACGGCCTGTATTGATATTTCACATACTATGCCCAAATGCCAACAGCCCATAAACCCAGGTTCTTCAACCAACAAATAATAATTAAATTAATAAAACGAAAACCATCCCTCCCATTGGTTGAACCGTATAGCCACGGCTTGAGAACTCACAACCGTCGATTCGTATATCAATCAACGGCACATGCTCTCCCGCCGCGTCCTCTCCCCAAAACTATCACACGAAAACACAAAATTTCAAACTTCCCGCGATTCCTCTCCGCTCCAAATCGTAAATAAATACCTCCAAAGCTTCCGCCACTTTCCATCCAATCCAAATCGAAATCTCTCAAATTTTCTCGAGAAACAAACACATCCTAAACCTCAAACTTCCACTTTCATTTTTCCAGATGGCTCGTACCAAGCAGACTGCTCGCAAGTCCACCGGAGGAAAGGCACCGAGGAAGCAGCTGGCAACTAAGGCTGCTAGGAAGTCTGCTCCGGCGACCGGTGGAGTGAAGAAGCCCCACCGCTTCAGGCCGGGAACTGTGGCGCTGAGGGAAATCAGGAAGTACCAGAAGAGCACTGAGCTCCTGATCCGCAAGCTTCCGTTCCAGAGGCTTGTGAGGGAGATCGCACAGGATTTCAAGACCGATCTGAGGTTCCAGAGCAGCGCGGTGTCGGCGCTCCAGGAGGCGGCGGAGGCGTACTTGGTGGGTCTGTTTGAGGACACCAACCTCTGCGCTATTCATGCCAAGAGGGTCACCATAATGCCAAAGGACATCCAGCTTGCTCGCAGGATTAGGGGCGAGAGGGCTTAAGAATCCCCAAATCTTAGGGTTTGGAATTTCCGCAGAATGTAGTGGACTTTTTATGATTGGTAATGGGTTTTGAAAATTGATATGTAAAGTTGAAACCTTGGAAGATTTATGGTTAATCGAAGTTTGGTTTGATTTATGCACTCCATGTGTTTGTTAAAGTTCTTGCTTAATTCAAGCTGAATTAATTTTCTACATTATTTCTACTTTCGTTGGTTTGAGCAGGATGTGATCTTTTGCTTGATTGATCTGCTTTGTGATTCTATCCAAGAAGGTGTAAAATGGTGTTTTGATTCGATTCAATTGAAAATACAGAATAAAATTGCTATGTCAATAAGTACTACTTGAGAGTATGGTTTGAACTTGTTATGGGGGATGGATCTGGTGGAACCGAGGCTTCTTCGGCTCCTTTGAGCATCATTGTTAGTTTCTTTGCTGTGGGTCTCAGCGACGGATCCTCTTGAATGCACCACATTGCGATCATAACGTACTTCTCCATATTCTTGATGTCTTCCATTGCCTCATCGTCATTCTGGAATAGCTGGTGCAGTTTGTTTTGCTCGTAGCAATTGTATGCCCAATCTACTATAATCTTTTGATCTTCATCCTTTGCCTCCTCGTTAAAGTTCCTTCTGCAGCATATAATCTCTAGCAGCATAATGCCATAGCTGTAAACATCGAACTTTGCTGTGATAGGCATGTTTTTTAACCATTTGAGGGAAACGAAGCCTCGAGTTCCCCTGAATCTGGTGATAGTCTGAGTCTGGTCCATTTTCAAAGGCTTGGCCAGAAAGACTTATTGTCCAGTGCAGTGAGGGTTGATCCTAACGAGATATTTTTGGCTTGATCAGTTTGAGCTGTGGTGAAAAATGGCAGCAGTAGAAGGAGAAGCAGACAGCAGCTTCTTTTTTTCTACTATTATTCAATTTCCGCGAAAATTGACCAACAATTTTCTATATCATTTTAAATACTGTTAAAGAAGATATCCTAGATTGATTAGGTCAACCATTGTAAATTGCTCATTAGTGATTTCTTTCCTTATTTAGTTCTAGTTAGCCTTGATTATAGGCAACGAACTAGGATTGTGATACACACCTTGTATATAAGAATGTAATCCGGGGTTTGAGAATAATAAGAAAGTCAATTACAATACATTTAGTTTCTTTAGATGGTACCAGAGTGAACGAACTGGGAAACACATCAAAGAAAGAATACAAACCCTAGCAACTATAGCCATGGGCGACAAACCAGAAAAGTCAACCTCCTCAGGCATGACTTTGTATCAAAAGTGGGAAAACCCTAATCATCCACTCTATCTTCATCACTCAGATCAACCTGGTGCAGTGCTTGTGCCGCAACCACTTGTGGAAGACAACTATGGTACATGGGTCCAATCCATGACCATGGCTTTGATGGTCAAAAACAAGTTAGGGCTCGTCGATGGGACGATCGAGAAACCAAGCGATGACCAGATTGAAGAATTACAGCAATGGAACCGATGCAACAACCTGGTGAAAACATGGTTGCTTGGTTCCATGTCCAAAGAAATCTCGGGAAGTGTCATACACTGCAAAGATGCACGACAAATGTGGCTTGATCTGCAAGAAAGATTTTCTCATGTGAATATTGTTCAACTTTTTCATATAGAGAACGAAATTCATGACTGTGTGCAAAACAGTATGACAGTAAGCTCTTATTTTACTAAACTTAAGAGCCTTTGGGATGAACGTGATGCCTTGGTTTCGATCCCTGCATGTCGCTGTGAGACCAAGAGAGAGATAACATCGTATGTTGAAACTCAGAAAACGATGAAGTTTCTCATGGGTTTAAATGATTCGTATGCCACAGTTCGTAGCAACACCTTGTTGTTAGAACCACTGCCTACTGTCAACAAAGCCTATGCACTTGTCCTTCGACATGAGAAGCAAACTGAAGTCTCGAATGGGAAGCATATTGTTCAACCAGAAGCGGCTGTGTTTGCTGTAAAAGGTGTGGGCCGCGACACTGAATTAAACGATGGAGGGCCGCGCTGTGAAAAATGCAACAAGACAAATCATCTTACAAAGAATTGCCGTGCTCACCTTAAATGCACTTTCTGTGGCTGGAAAGGTCACACATTTGACTACTGTCGCAAGAGAAAAGCAGCTGCAGAAATTGAATCAAACCGTCCCTTCTCTTCCAAAGGGAATCAGGTTACATCTCATGACAAAAAGGAGGTGATGTCTAGCTTCCCCTTCTCTCAGGAAGATTGCAAGCAGATTCTCAACATGTTGAACAAAAACAAGTCAGCAAATTCTCACCATTCCTTTGCCAACCAAGTCGGTAATTCCTCACATATAGAAGAACTTTCAGGTAAAGCCTTCTCCTTTACATATAATGGCAAGCAAAATGTATGGATCCTAGACAGTGGTGCCACAGACCACATTGTTTGTAGTCATGATCTTCTCACCCATTCCAGGGAAGTTTCAAATCATACAGTTGAATTACCAAATGGTTCTCTTGCCCAGGTTACCCACATTGGACAAATAATCTTCTCACCTCACTTTATGCTTGATAATGTCTTATGCGTACCTCTTTTTAAGCTCAACCTAATATCCATCAGCAAGTTAGCATATGACTCACTTTATGTCACTATATTTCTCAACCATTCTTGTATCATACAGGACCTACGCTCGGGGAAGATGATTGGGATGGGCAGTGAACGGAAGGGGCTATACTACCTTGATCCACCTAAGAAAGGAACATGCAATCACGTTCAAGTTACCTCTCCAAACTGTTGGCATCAACGTCTCGGACATCCCTCTCCTACAGCTTCTTCGTTATTTCCTTTTCTCACTCATAAATCTTGTGCTTCAAATAAATGTTTGATTTTTCCATTAGCCAAACAAACCAGATTACCTTTTTCATTAAGTTCCATTTCTAGTCAATCTTGTTTTGAGTTAATACATATTGATATTTGGGGTGGTTACCAAGTTGCGTCTCTTTCAGGAGCTAAATACTTTCTTACTATCGTAGATGACCATAGTAGAAGCACATGGGTTTATTTGATGAAGCATAAGTCAGATACATGCACTTTCTTAGTCCAATTCATTCATATGGTCGAAACTCAATTCAATGCTAAAATCAAGATTGTGCGCAGTGAT